ACAATTTAATTCGAACACGACTCATATAATAATCATGTTAGGAACCCTCAACACCAACCCAACTTATTTATTAAACAGGTTACACGGGTAACTCTTTTAATGACCTGTTTAATAAAATTAAATATTTTATTATTTAAATTATTAATAATACTTAATAAAATGTTAAATACTATAAAAATATAAGTTTCAATCCAACTAAATTACTAAATAATCTCTAATTTACAAAAGAATAAATTATAAGATACAAGTTTAGATAGTTATTTTTGAACTTAAATAGAAATTTGCTTATGACACGTATAGTTAAATGGTATAACGGATTACACTAGTTGAACCCCTCAATCTAAACACGATACGATTATCTAAATGGGTTAATCGTGTCAACCCGTTTATGACCCGAAACTATTTAAGGTCAACCCAAACCTATTTAACTCGTGTCGTTTTCGAGTTGTGTTGGCAGGTCGTGTCAAACTTTGCCACCTCAATGAATCATAAGCATGTTTTAAATGAGGCCTGAAACAAAGCCTAAGCCCAAGTCCATCTTATTGGAGACTCTAAAATCTGACCCAAGTTTTGTTGGGCGCAATCCACCAAAATAGATATGAGTTGGTCACATAAGTAGCCCAACATTTTTGTCCATCATCTTTAAGCCCATTTCACGCTCTCACCATCCCATTTTGCACACACGCACACGCACACCGCACACGCACACGCACACGCACACACTGTCCCTCTCTAACCCTCAATCTTCAGGTACGTCTCTCTCTCACTCAACTATTGATTGTGATCTCTACAAAGAGTTCTGTGACTGTGCAAGTTATACTCAGTTAATTTGATTTAATTCTCTGATTAAACCCTATCATGGTCAATTCTTTGATGCGTGCAAGACATTGCAAGTCTACCTTCTTATTAGTTGATCACATGGGCGTTTTTTCTTTCAACATGTCATTCAATGGTTCTACTATTTTGTGGGTTTTTGCTGTTTTGCTTGTATGAACATTTGTCTAATTATCTGTATTGTGGAAGGATTCTTTTCTACGGAACTTTGTAACAATAGAAGCATTATTTGGTAGTAACATAACATACCCCAACCCTAGATCATTCTAGGTTACATAATACAAGCAAATTACGAAAATTAAAAAAATAGAAACTGTATCGATCTTATAACCCAAAATGGACTTCATAGAAATGAAGCATACACAAATCAGAAACCCCAACCCTAACCTGAATATAAATACAGAGAAACAAAAGTACATATGTATTGATACAAAAAAGTTCAAGTACATGTGTATTGATATAAAAAAGTTCGAATCTTTCACTATATATATTGCAATTTGAGCTGGGATTGACCGAAAGCGCGAACTCATCTCCTATTCGATTCGAGATATAGGGTTTTCTATTTGGTTCACTGGTCATCCCTTTATACATCTGTATCAATTGAAACATCATGGGATGCATATATAACTAATTAACTATATATGTGTACACAAACACACACACACACACACACACTAGTATAGGTTCATGTGCAATGCACTTGAATAGTCTCTTTTTTATATTTTTTATAAAAATTATTTTTCAAGGTTCTTATTAGACAAATATGATATTAAAAAGTAAACTAAAAAAGAAAATATACTCTGTGATAGGTTCCACTACTGCCAAGTGGCATGTTCACTAAATTCGTAATTCGTATAATCTTGTCCTTAGCTTTCATATTCTACTCCATTCTTCACAAAACATAAATATGCAGTGGATACCCATGAATAAAAAAATATAAGATAAGCAATAAATTATTATATTTGCATGAAAATTCAACTTTCAATGAGAAAAAAATAAACTAAATCTAGACAAATACTCTTCTGAACAAATTCACTATATTAAAGAATGGGATCATGAATTATTGGGCTGGGCTATTAACATTGGGGATTGATTGAGCATGAGAATGTGGAGTGGCTTCTTTGGATCCTCATGCTATACAACTACAAACAAAAAAGAGACAAAAACACTTGATACTTATAATTTATCTCAAAACCAATTAGAAGTACTTTTTGTACGTAGTTATATCACTCGTGGGGACTTAAGTAAGTCTCCCAGGCTTGAAGAATGAAATTATGATCATCAGCTTAATTTGTAGAAAGAGAGAAAAAAGTAAAAGAAAAAAAGAAAGATGAGTTAGTGTAGAATTAATTATTTGAAATTCTAGGAAATTGGAAACATAAAGTTAATAGAGATTAAGGCCAACACTTTAGTTACATAACTTGCATATACTGCACACAAACACTTGACTTCCGTATTAGAAGTACTTTTTGTACGTAGTTCTATCACTCTAACAACAAAAGAAAAATTATATATGGACTCTATCTCAAAACCAATTAGAAGTACTTTTTGTACGTAATTCTATCACCCGTGGGAACTTAAGTCTCCCGGCTTGAAGAACGAAATTAAAACTCTTTGCTTATTAGTTGAGTTTGTAGAAATAAAGAAAAGCAAGAAAGAAAAAAAGAAGAAGAAATTAAGACTAGGGGTGGCAATTGGGTGTTTGGCGAGTTTTGGGCTGGTCATAAGTGGGCTGATCATGAATGGGTTAGTAACCCATTATCAACCCATCAATAGGGGGTCGTAAGTGGGTTGGGTATCAAATGGGCTGATCAACCCACACATAACCCGTTGAACCATTCACATAATTTATTATTGTTATTATTTTCATTTTTTCATTGCTCTGCTCACAAAATTATGCTTGTATATGACTTTTTTTATATATAAATTTTTATTTTAATCTACTCACAAAATTATTCTGGTAATGATTTTTTTTTTATAAAATTTTCACAGTAATTATTATTATTATTGTATTTTTCGGAACTGCTTTCTTGATGGAAATGTATAATTGAAGTTTATATGTTATTTACTATAGAATAATCCTAACAAAAGCCCCAGATTTCATCTTTGGTAATAAAGAATAACAATTCAGATTTTAAAAGTTCAATTAGTAAGTGATTTTTTTTCTTCCTAAAAGTAAACAAATCTGTGCTATATATCTTGTATTGTATTGACTTTAATTGGCTAACCTGCTCATGGTTATCCAACTCTACTTTGACAAAATTTTATATGGGTTATTTTTTGTTCACTTAGTTAATTTTCCAAGCCCTATTTTTTAATTTTTTTTTATCCACCAAGCTAGAGAGAGAGAGACGAGAGAGTAGGTAGAGGAGAGAGAAACGAAAGGAGACAGAAAACGAGGGGAGAGAGAGACGAGAAAACGAGATAAATGAGGAGAGAGAGATGAGAGAGATAAATGAGGAGAGAGAGACGAGGAGAGAGAGAGACGAGAGAGATAAATGAGGAGAGAGAAACGAGGAGAGAGGAGACGAGAGAGATAAATGAGGAGAGAGTAATTTGATTTTGAAAAATATCATGTGTGTGGTGGGTTAAGTGGCTACCCACTCTTAACCCACTACCAACCCATTAAATATATTATCCATTAATAATTTACCCATTAATAACCCATTCAACTAAACTAGTCACCCAATACCCAATAATTGTTGGGCGAATTTGGGCGGGCTTTTGGGTTTGGGTATATTTTGCCACCCCTAATTAAGACCAACACATTAGTTATGTAAACTACACACAAACACTTGACTTGCGTGTTTCTTGGCTTGGGACATGGTTGGAGTTTTAGTTTGAGAGAGAGAAGATGTGTTTCTTGGTTCACGACTTGGCAGAGAGAATTTATTTAGGAATAGAAGAAACAGAATTAGAGAAGATCTAGGAGAGGAAAATTATTTTTATTTAGGAAACTCTATAAATTTGTTTTTTTTTTTTTTTTTCTTTTTTCTTTATCCCCTTTTGGAATTCAAGAGAAATTCAGTCAAGGTGGCCGACACTCGTAGAAGGTGCATCATTTTATTTTTATTTTTCCATTTGCATGGGAGGGACTACGATAAATTGTCTTATAACGTCTTTAGAGTATGCGAATAACTTAGTAACACCAAACAGAAACCCCAAAACAAACATTAAGTCATTAAGTTACGCATTAAGTTAACTTCTTACGACTCTCATTAAGTTACATTTTAGTTTTTTTTTTTTATAGAATTTGAAAAAACCTAAATTATTATTCAGGAAAGAGTTAGAAAGAGAATAGAATTACAAAAAAAAAAAAAAAAAAAATGTGTAAATTATTATTTAGGGAAGAGTTAGAAAGAGAATAGAATTGGAAAAAAGGTTATAGAATTAGGAAAAGATAAATTTATATTATTAAAATACACTATAAATAAAAAATAAAAGTAAAATTGCTATGAAACTCTTTGTACTGTTAATGAAAGTATAGGTGTGTGTGTGTCTTAGGGAGAGGAGAGATGGGAATGGGTGGTGGTGGACGACGAGATGAGAAGATATGATATAATTGGGTCGCATGCAGCCCAACTCGATTTCGGTTGGTTTTGCTTGTCTGAAGTAATGAAAGAAAAGGTTTGCAAGTCGGTCGGGCCCAACCCGAGTCCAATTTGGTTGGGCTTGGGTTGGGACCTGAACCCCATTTATATTTTAGATATATTTATTATTTATTATTATATTACATTATTAGATTAAATCTCAACCCTCTATTTACTTATCAAACAAAAAAAATAAATTCTCAACCCTCTATATTTCATCCAACGGTTGGTGAATGTGATTACATAAACCCCATAAGTCTCTACTCTCTAGAGACCTTAGCCTATTGCCGTCTTCTCTAAAACCCTCGCAGCTAGTCTGCGACACTGTTGCCATTGCCTTGGGTACTGGTCATCTTTACCTTCACCTTCATAGCCAAAGGTAATATAAACCTCATATGTATTGTTCATTGATATATATGATTTTCTCTGTGTGTGTGTGTGTCAGCCACATTCACCGATCACCTTCATATCTGATTTTATGTAAACGAATGGTTTTGAGTAGCAAGGTTCTTTTGTATTGTAGAACCAAAACAGATTCGAACTCAATGGAATGTAATTTGTTTGTTCTAGTTCTGTTTCTATAAGTTTGATGCCTTTATGGATTATGTCTTCTAGATGATTCAGTTTGGTTCTTGGGTTAGGACCAACTGAACTCGGACCAGTTCTGCCAACTTTGCACGAGAAAAAGTACCTAATTCTGACAAGAAAGTTATAGACTTTACATATTGTTACCCATCCTTCATTGCAATGTTTAAAATTTTAAGTCTTTGTTGTAATTACTGTATCATGCCCATTTTTCTGGTTGCAATTAAAAATGTTGGAAATAAGAACTCCCAAACAAGGAAGAGCCAAACGAGAGATAGAGAAACGTGCCCCTAAACTTGTGAGCTTTCTATGGTTTTCCTCGAAGCCATTGAGAACTATTTTTTTTGGAAATGAGTAATTACATTTATTCAAAGATGACATTTAGTATTTTGATTATAAAATGTGTTTTGCAGGTTGAAAATGGGAAGAAGACCCTAATACTTCATGGCACAAAGACCAGCAATACCTTATATGCTGTATTAACCGAAATCTATCACCTTAAAAAGGATAATTCTGTTAAATATTCTAGGAGGAATGATAACATCAGGCCATTTGAGAGCAGTGGTGAAACTTCTTTAGAGTTTTTCTCTCTCAAAACTGATTGCAGTCTTTTTGTGGTAAACTGAAAACTATTTAGCATCACTTCTTTCTTAATCATTTCCCTTTCTCTATTTCTTTTCTAGCCTTCTTTAAGATATTCAAAAAATGTTAATTGAACATTGAACAGATTGCTAAATGAATTTTTTTTTTTTTTTTCCCGAAGTAGTAAGGTTGATTGTGTAATTGTCTTTAAGTCATAGCCACTCAACCATATGTGTGGTACTATTTGTTAAACATGCTTGAAGCTCCACGTCATCTCCTTGATTTATATGATTTAATGCCATTTCTTTCATCTGTTGTGTATAGATGTTTTGATGCACATTATTTGATTGTTGTAAAACTTCTTCCTCTTGTTCTTTTTGTGTATCATCTCTTCATTGTATGTTGTGCTTGATGTTTTCTTTATAGTGTTTCCCATTTTAAATATCAAGTTGGATCATTTGGATTTCCCTTTACCTCCCTTATTAGGCTTCTTGTAGTGATATGGTAAAATTGTATTTCTTGGATCAATCTTCATGCCTAATAATGCACAAAAAAGATAAAGTCGGGTTTTAGGCTTGTTACTTTCTCACAACATTTCCACCCCCCTCCCCCCAAAAAAGTGCATCAAATAAAGGTGCCAAAACATGGAAAATGTACCATTTATATAAAACTGAAGACCAAATTTTCATTTTATTCTTAAGGTGTATGCTAAAAGTGTTGGCCATATGAATTCTCTTTTTCCATTCTTTCTTATTATGCACAATTATTCTCTTAAAAAACTTAAATTTAAGAGAAGACACAGTGCATAATAGTGCAGAATGGGAAAAGAGAATTCATGTGGGATATAGGCTAAAAGTGTCATAAATGCACAAAAAGGGAAATTCGTTTGAAGCTCCACATTATCTCCTTGATTTATATGATTTGATGCCATTTCTTTCATCTGTTGTATATAGATGTTTTGATGTACATTATTTGATTGTTGTTGTTCTTCTTCCTCTTGTTCTTTTTTTGTATCATCTCTTCATTATATGTTCTGCCTTATGGGGTAAAGTAGGCTCGAAAACAATTAACAAAAATTTTCGCTTATTAACTTTATTTTTCTTTATAGTGATTCTGATTTCAAAGTTCAAGTTGGATCATTTGGATGCCCCTTTACCTGCCTTATTAGGCTTCCTGTAGTGATATGCTAAAATTGTATTCCTTGGATCAGTCTTCATGCCTATTTCGGCCACATGAATTCTCTTTTTTCATTCTTTGCTATGTATAATAGCAAATAATGAAAAATGAAAATTTATATGAGATATAGGCAATGATGATAACAATGATGCTAAAAGTTTCATATATGCTCAAAAAGGAAAAGCCGAGGTTTAAGAAAAGAAAAAAAAAAAAAAGAAGGAAAATTAAGGCATCCATTATACACTTATATGAAAACTTAAAGTGCATTAAACAAAGATGCCAAACATGGAAAGTAATTATAGGAATATGAAATATACCATTTATATAAAACTCCAAATTTTCTTTGCAGTCTCAAGGTGTATGCTCAAAGTGTTGGCCACATGAATTCACCTTTTCCATTCTTTTCTATTATGCACCATGTCTTCTCTTGAAAAACTTACATTTAAGAGAAGCCATGGTGTATAATAGCAAAGAATAGAAAAGGAGAATTTATCTGGGAGACCTTATTCATGTGGGATATAGGTAAGGATGATGATGACCCAAGTCTGTTGGGTCATCTTCCTCAGCTGTTCCGCACCAGGCTAAGCCCAACTCATGTATCCCACCTCCAAGCCATCGTTACGCTCGATTCTTCCTATACGAAATTACTTGGAGTCTCAACTTATCACTCCCATTGTAAGAATTGGAAAGCAGCACAAGGGAAGGACAAAACTCTTCAGTAAACGAAACTCTGAAAGCCCACCACCTGACTTCCACGATGATAAACTCCGCGATCTCACCTCCTTCGAGTACAGTAATGATGATTCTCTCCGTATCACTTAATTCATAAGCCTCAACATCCCAATACCCTCCACAAAGGTCACCAATGGCAACAAACAGCTTCTGACACAAAAGATACAGAGGAAGACCATACAAATGGCTCGCCAGTGCAAGGTCTTCTTCCTCATCCCAGAGCACCCAACCCGTTATCACCACTCCCGTAGATTTCTGTCTTCTCTCTTTCACTTTCCAAGTTTTTGATTGATTATTGAAGCATAGTATCTAAACATTAGCAAAAGGGTTGGGAAAGGGTCGGGGACTAAACTCATGATTCATTTCGTGGGGATGGTAGTAGGAGTAAAAACCCGTCCTGGGTTTGGGATGGGGATGGGATACATGGAAATAAATGGCAGGGGGATAGGGTTTAGAACAACTCACCCGTAGCCATTCCTAAGCCCAAAGTGTCCTGGTCGACAAGACGCTGATCACTGACACGAGATATGCGTTAGACGCTTTACAATCTACCCTATGAGTGAAGAAATTTTTAGCGAGGCCTTTGTTCTTTTGGTGTTTTATTTGTTATTCTTCACCGTGTAAACAAAACTCTGATGGTTTGAAAATGGAGATTTTTAGAGATTGAAGATGTTTGGATTTTCACACGCCGGCTCCTAAGACTTTTTTAATGACTAAAGAGTGGCTTTTCACGTTGCTGATTTATAACACGTGGCTTGATCAAATTTTTAGATGGCTGTGATTCTGCCACTTGACATTATTTATGAGTTGTCTACCACTTACCTTGGTCTACTTTACCTTTTCAATTTCTATCATCAATTATTCATTTTGAAACCGTTATCTCGAGCCTTGTAACTGAAGACTTTTACATTAATTGGAAAACGTGTATGGAAGACCTCCATTTATTATATATCCCTCTGACTTCTTAATTTAATCAATCTCTTTAATTTCTTTTAATACTCGAAATAAGTATTACTTGAAGAGTACGTAGTCGAGCCTCCCTACATACTTTCTCTCTCGTTTTCAGGTTCCTGTCTCGGTAGTTGAAAGGATTGATAGACTTCAACGGAACTTCCTTTGGGGTGGACGGGGGGAGGAGTTTAAGTATCATCTTGTTCGTTGGGATCAAGTGTGCATGCCTATTCCATTGGGAGGTCTGGGCATTAGGAGGTTGGCCCTTTTCAACAGGGCTCTTCTGGGAAAGTGGTTGTGGAGATTCGGAAGTGAGCGCCATCGTCTTTGGAGGAAGGTTGTTGTGTGCCACTACGGGGAGGAGAGAGGTGGTTGGTCCTCTGATCTAGTCAGATTCGCTGGAGGTGTGGGTGTTTGGAAATTCATTCGTAAGGGATGGGATGAATTTTCGAAGCATATTAGATTTAGAGTACGGGATGGCAGGGGAGTTCGGTTCTGGGAGGATTTATGGTGTGGTGATCGCCCGTTGGCTCGTTCTTTTCCCAAACTTTTTCAGATTGCCATGGATAGGCATACTTGGTGGCTGACTGTTATCGGCTCGATAACGGTAGGCTTGCGTAGGATGTGCATTTTCGGCGTTCCTTTCAGGATTAAGAGTTGGATGAGGTTGCAGGTTTGTTGGAGCTGTTGTACGGACAGGAGGTAGATGGTAGTGGCATTGACTCTCTGGTTCGGGTGCCTTCCTCTCAGGGGAGATTCGAGGTTCATTCCCTATTCCGTTGTCTCTCTGATTTTCATGGTTCTAATTTCCCTTGGAAGACGGTTTGGCGTTCCTAGGCTCCCCTCAGAGTGGCCTGCTTTGTATGGACTGCTGTTTGGGGTAAGATTTTGACCCTGGATAATTTGAGGAAGAGAAGATAGATTACAATCAATTGGTGTTGTTTGTGCTAGAGGAGTGGCGAGTCTGTGGATCACCTTCTGTTGCATTGCCTTATAGCTCACGACTGTTGGAGCTTTATCTTTGTCCTTTTCGGTGTCCATTGGTTATGCCTCGGTCCTCGAGGGGTTTGATTGACGCTTGGCGAGGCTGTAGTGTGGGAGCCCATGCCCGTGAGTGTTGGAGGGTGGTTCCCCTTTGTGTTTGGTGGTGCTTATGGAAGGAGTGGAATAGAAGATCTTTTGAAGGAGAGAAATCTTCCTTAGGGGCTTTGAAGTTTCATATTATTAGCTCTCTTTTTAGTTGGGTTTTGGGGAGAAATTGTATATCCATTGACGAGTTTATTGATTTTTTGGGGTTGGTGGGTCCTTAAGACCTTGTCTCTGGCTTCGGCCTTTGAATAGCCCTTGGGACGCGTTCCCCGTTTGACCACTTTCTAATACATTTTACTTATCAAAAAAAAAAAAAAAAAGTATTAGCAAATGTAATACCACCATTTCTTATTTGTCCATTAGAGAGCTTTTGGTGTTCTCATTTATAATTAATTAATTTCCCTTTTTTTTATTTAGAAAGTAGGGAAACAAAATATTTAGCATAATGCAAAAGAAAATAACAGAAGAATGTAATAGATCATGCAATCTAGTCATTTTCATGTCAAAAAGCAATTTGATACACTAACCAAGAAAAAATGGACGCATAAAAATCAATAAACAGAATAATTAAACTTGTTCTAATAAAATTGAAATTCAAATGATCCATTCCTTCATTTGTATACAAAATAAATTATGTCAGTTAATATTTGTATATAGTGTCCAAGTATACATGTGTCTGGTTTTTGGACACATTTTTTTTTTGTTCCCATGTCCTATAATTTGATAGAAAGATGAATTCGACCCCTAGACACACACCCTTGTCTGACAACCGTACCAAGTCCGGGTAACATAGGTTATTTGTCAATCGATGCATCTTTTCTGCTATGCTATACATAGACATGGACACTACGCATAAGGCCCAATTTGGTTGGAAAGAAATAGAAGGAAAAGAAAAGAAAGAAAATGGAGGATATGGTTATTTGTGTTTGGTATAAAACCTTGGAAGGAAAAGAAAAGGAATGGAAGGATTTGGAGGGATACATTAAAGCTTGATGAGTTGGTTTTGTTATCCTTCCAAAAATGGGAGGAAATGGAAGGAAAGGCTAGCATTTTTAATGAAACTTTGTCAACACCAAATTTGTTCGTTGGACTCTGCTTTCCCTATGGAAAATGAGAACATCAAATTTTGGCATGCTTCAGACTTTGGTAGCTACTTTCAACTTCAAATAGAAAGCATTTTAGAAAAAGAAATTGAATAGCTGAATGATGCATGTCAGTGTTCTGAAGTTACTTGCCACAATAGGATAAAGACAAATCTATTGTTGCAGTCATGTTGTGCCATATCCAATCCACTTAGCTTGATAGTTGATACCTCTGATCTATCTCCGGTTAAGACTCTGCAATAAAATTTCAATTCGGACATGGTGGACCACAAATGCCAACCTTTCCTTGGCGGTCAATAGGGGTGGACTTTTCGAAGAAATAGGCTGGCCCAGGATCGTGAAGGAATGTTGTCACTTTGTTCTTAGTATATGAGCCATGAGTTGGCTCCTGAACAATTATTATTATTATTATTATTTTCCCTAGTTAGAACAATTTCCTTTTCAATGCACAATATAGGTGCATAATTGACTAGACTATATCTCAGGTGATGATGACATAACAATAGGCTTCAAGCGGTTGCCTAGTTATGTTTTATGATAATATAAGTCTTTATGTTCCTTGATGGGACATTGACATTTGAAGTAGTTGGAGCCCTCGGTAATTGATCCTTGCTAGTTAGAACTGGCACCAATATGGGTAATTGACAATTCGATAGTTATGATGAAACCATTTTAAAACAAATTGAGCTCACCAATGATTAGGAAAAGGGATATCCAACATAATTTAATGATTCTAAGACTTGTAGCATTATTCCATGTAAATTTTTTTTTGGCTCCTCATCAACTTCTTGGCCCTAATACTTTTTGTTCACTAATTACCACTTACAGGATACAACTATATTATATGCTAGGGAGTTTGAGTAGGCTCTTTTCTGATGTGGTGGATCTTTTAGTGAAGGGAATGTGTTCTAAATATTTGCTTAAATTTTACATTTCATCTTGTTAATGACTATTGACTGTTAAATTTTACATTTCATCTTGTTCATGTGAGCGTATTACTGTAGATGAGGTTTTGAAAATTCAAAGCAAGGAAGTCAGATTTTAAGATTTATGATATGTTTATCTATATATATATGCATATTATTTTTAACTATATTGATTGTTTGAAGTTATTCTCTGGGGTGAGGTTAAGCTCAGAGTCTCAGACCATATTGCCTAGCCATGTGGATCCCGTTAATATAGTCCAAAGTCCATTTTCCATGCTTCAAAGAGTTAGTTATATTTTGCTGCTACTTTGAGTCACCCAAGATCTTGCGTCTTTGATACCAGCTATTATAAAGCTGTTACAACCCGTCAATAAGTACTATAGATATATATTTTCATTTTGCTTATATCTACTCGTGGATGATGGATGTCCCTTTTCCTGGTTTTCAGCACAATCTTTGTTGTCAATATGATTGTTTTGTATGGACAACATTTCCCCTTATTCCCTGTTCATTCTGTTTGAAGAATGGAATTGAATGTCTCAAATACCAATATATCTGCTTTTATTTATAGGATCAGAAAATGGTTGCACTTGTGCTATTATTCCCCTACATTATGCATTTATCTTTCACCCTTGAATTCTGTCACGCCTATACAGGATAAATGGAAGTGTGTAAATAAACTGTTATAAGGGTGTTTCTCTGCTGCTAATTTTGTTAGTGTGACATCTATCCAAATGTATTCTATGTCTATATTTGCAGTATGGTTCTCACTCAAAGAAGCGGCCTGACAATCTTGTTATAGGGCGAACTTATGATCACCATATTTATGATCTTGTAGAGGTAGGGGTTGAAAATTTCAAAAGCATGGAGTCGTTCTCGTATGATAAGAAATGGGCTCCCCAGATTGGTTCAAAACCATTCTTTGCTTTTATTGGTGAAGGATTTGAGAGTGTAGAAGAGCTGAAACATTTGAAGGAAGTGTTGCTTGATTTGTTCCGAGGAGTGGTATATCTCTGCTGTTTTTTCCCCTCATTTTCCATTGTCTTTATTTCTTTTTTTGTTTTCTTTTTTCTTCTTTGAATTTGGAGATTATTATAAGAAGTATGGATTTGATTGATGCGCAGGTTGTATCAAATTTAAACCTTGCTGGGTTAGACCGTGTTTATGTGTGTACCGCTGTCTCTTCAAATAAGGTGTTCTTTACTCATTGTGGTACCATAGTCCCAAGGATGGAGCTTGTCGAAGTTGGCCCGTCCATGGATTTGGTAGTTCGGCGGCATCGTCTTCCTGATGACAACTTAAGGAAAGAAGCTATGAAAGCAGCTCCTATACTGGCTAAAAAGGTTTGACTAATTAAATCTCTCCCTCTCTCTTTCTCTGTCTCTCGTGTAAGTGTTCTAAAGGACAAGTCCTGTTTTTCATTTCCAGGAGAAAAATGTTAGCCGAGACGCAATACAGGGAAAAATTGGGAAGATATATATTCCAGACCAACAGGTAAGAATGAAGATAGTTTTATTTGGCAGTGGTTGCATCACCAGGAATACCTAACTACTTTAGTCGTGGTATATGAATGGTCACCAAAAGTACACTAAACACTGCATGTGTAATGCTCCCCCCAAAAGTCCGATTTGTCATTCTGCCGACTCTATCTCACCAGCAGTCATGCCGTCTTTTCCACAAGTTCTAAAGATTTTCATTGTGTCCAAGTTGGTGATACAGCACTGCCTAACAAATCGAAGGGGCTAATGAGGGAGCGTCGTGAAGCTAAGATAAAAGGTGACCGAAACAAGAATGTTGTGAAGAAGCAGAAGCAGAAGCAAGATTCGTGACAATCCTGTTTGACTCTTGATCGACTGTAGACGCTGTTGTTGGGGCAATGCAATTTTGGTCGGAATTGAATGTGGTTTAGCAGATGTCCTGATAGGTTTCTTTACTTCTATTTGTATGCTTCACTTCCTTTTGTAATCAATTATGGTTGGGTATGTATCGAATTAGCACATCACTGCAGTCAATTTTATCAGAATTTTGATATGGATAATCAGATCTTTTAGAGAGTAATGTACTTAATTCTGCACATGCACATGCTTTGTATATGCAGACCATGCCCATTTTATCACTACCAACTGGCTAATGTGTGCATGATCGCATGTGGCGCGTCAATTCGGGCGTCTAAACTCATTACAAATCGGTCTATTATCAATTGATAACTAGGCAAACGTGTGAGCCATATAATTTGCAACCTTGAAGGGCAAGAGCCAACATTGGCGGCGGCGGCGGCGGCGCTGGTTTACCTTTCTTATTGCATCCTGTGACAGTACCTCAGCAGGGGACGGGGAGGGAAAAAGATTGTGACCTGTTGACCATGAGAAGCATGCTTTTGGGAAGCCTGTGGAGCTCGTCTTGGCGTCGGTAAGAGTCACCAAGAAGTCCTCTTAACCATTCGACCTCTCCAAGGAAGAGGTGAATGCTTTTTCCCTGATCTGAACCCATCAACAGCACTCCGGAGATTTAAAATTTTATCGATCATGCATGGAGTGTTACTAGTGTCAATATTTGACAGCACAAGGGAGTTATGGGTAGTGTGACTGGTTGACGGAACAGAGGCGTGACTCCATGAGAGCACCGGTGGCTAAAGGCGGTGAGGGAGCCTCGAGTCCCTTTTTCAGTTTGGGGGGTAAAGCTGGCTTTGGAACTGGAGAGGTTAGGAGGCTGCTTGTGGTGGATAGGTGTAACGGGTGGGCGCTTGCCCATTTATCCAAAAGTTCAAGCTGTTGGGTAGTGCTGCATACCCACCTATTTATACCTAATCACTTTTCCATCCGGATCCGATGTGAGACAAATGATCTTTGTAACATTCTCCTCCACCAGAACTCGCAACGCCTTCATTGTGATCGGGCCACCCTGCCCATCCGGGGTGGCTCACTCGGATGCCTTTCGGGTCGGGCGCTTGGCGTGGCACTGGATCAAGAACCGAGTCTGATTCTAATACCAACTGTAATGGGTGAGCGCTTGCCCATTTACCTAAAAGTTCAAGATTTGGCATTTCATCGAAAATAAAGCTGAGATTCGAGGATATTCGGGTTCTCCAAATAGATTTGGATCCCCACGATCTTGTGATTCCTGTAAAACAAGATTTAAGAGTTAAAAAGAAACCACGTCATTTGATAATCTACTTACAAATCGGCTAAACCAGCCGATTTATGGAAGTATGTAACGGTATGGAATCTTTGAAAAAGGGTTATGAACCGGTCCATAGGCGAACCATGCTTATTGCTCCGTTATGAAACTCGTAGTCCAATTGTAACATAACACCTTTTTCTATGAGTTAGAGAAAAGGAAGCGCGCTCACTTCTCGAGGAAGAAGAAAGAAAAGCCAAGAAAGCAGGAGGGTGAGGGCTGAAATGGAAGCTACCATTGCAGATGCCAAGAGCATTTCCTTCAAAAAGGAAACAAGGGGCAGGAACAAACCTAGTAAAATAGTGAAGAAGAAGCATGAAGGAATTGAGAGAGCCAAGAGGCCTTTCTTGGAGTAAAAAATGAAGGGGAGAGACTTTACTCAAAAGAAGAGTCATAAAACAAGTGAGAAAAATCAACTGCCAAAATATTTGCAGCAATTAGAAACAATATAGACTAGCCGGAGAGATTGTATATATTGATTTTGATTTTTTATTTTTAAGCAAACAGGGCATAAATTAAGGCAGTGTTTGATAATGATTTTTAAATTATTTCTGTTAATCACCAAAAGCGATTCAGTTGCACAATTTTTTATTTTTATTTTGTTATTTATTTTTTTTTGTGATCAATGCATCTCCATCTAAAAAGGAATGGGTACAGACTGATTTTCCATTTTCAATATAAGTTTGTATTCTCATACTTGCGATTTTGATATTAAACTGTAATATTATCTCAGTAGTAGACTTGTTTGGCAACTGTTTTTGTAAAATTAAGCCGTCTGATAAAGTCCTGTTTAGCTGTTGTAGTTGAACACTTTCAGCAATAATAATAATAATAATTTTTTTTTAAAGTAATATAATGCAATACATATCTCTTTACAATGTTCCCATTTTTTTTTTTAGGGAATTGGGCAACAAATTCTTGTTTTGGGAAACCAATTTGTACCATGCTTTTGTTGCCAAATCACTTAAAACTAGAGACAATTGGTAAAAGCAGGTTTGCTAATATTTGTTACTACTTCAAAAAAGGTCAAAAGAAAAATGAAAGTTATTTTCACTTGATTTTCTGCTATAGTAAAACAATTGGGACAAATTCTTTTTTCTTTTTTCCTTCCAAAAAAGCTAATGTAAATATTGTGTAACAAATAATTTGAAAAATTATGGAACAAATGTATTTTATTTTCTCCAGCAAACTAAGGGAGGGAGACTAGAACACGAACACAACAATGTTCCACCAACCAGGCTAGTGGATAATGCCTATAAAACAAATATATTTATCGAACACATTTCTCTAATGCTGTTCAAGTCCGCCGAGACTTATCTGAAATAATAATAATAAATAATTTTTATAGCATTAGGAAAGCATTAAAAATGCAGGACCATGTAGATATGAGGTGTCCATCAAAGAAAATGCATAGTTTGGTATGCATGAGTACAATGAAATGTAAGTAGGAGTGAGATGAAAATGGGAATGGAATGAAATGGTAATTTTCATTCTATTGTTTGATTGCAAATATGAAACACGTATGAATGGAATAACAATAACCATTCTAATATTTGGTTTGAATTATCTAAAATACTAAATTAAATTAATAAAATAACATTATTTTATAATTTTTTAAAAAGAAATGATAGCCATGGCGGTGGTGGAAGACAGATGTGGCGGTGATGGAAGGCAGTGAAGGTGAAGATGATGGTGGTGGTGAAAGGTAGCGGAGGAGGAGGAGGTGGTGGTGGTGATGGAGGTGGTGGCAATAGTGGTGGAGGTGGATGGCGGCGACGGTGGTGTCAGTGACGCCTTTGACAGTGGTGGTGGTAGTGGTGGAAGACAGTGGTGGTGGTGGTGGAAGACGGCTACAGTGGTGGCAGTAATGATGAAGGTGGTGGAAGGTAATGGAAGTAGCGGTGGTTGAAGGTGGTAGTGGTGGAAATCGGTGATGGTGGTGGTGACGATGGAGGTGCAGTGTAGGCAGCGACGATGTGGTGGTTGAAAGCAGCGACGATGTGGTGGTTGAAAGACAATAGAGGTGACGGTGGTGAAAGGCACCTGGAGTAATGACGATTTTTGAACTTGTACATATGAGAGATTTTTGGAAATTGAATTTTTTTTTTATAAAAAAATTACTTAAAAATAGAATGACAATTTAATAAGTTTAATTATAAAATAGATTTTCATTCCTTCTCGCGAGTGAAATACGACAACCTAACAAAAGCATTATTTTATAAAATTCTCTCCAAATTAATTTTCCTTTTCTCTTGTTTCCAACAAAAAAAATAAGATAAAAAATAAAAAATTAATAAAAGTCAGTTGTTAGCACTTTAATTTAGGCAAGTATCGCAGTCAACGATGTATAGAAAAACCCATTCGTAATCCTCAATTCTCTCTCTCTCTCTCTCTCTAACCATGGAGTTCTTAGACGAAGAGAGCAGGCCAAGAGTTCTCTTCCAATCGCGTCCATCTCCTTCTTCACAATCCCAACCCCAAACCCTAGGCCTCCACAAGCCCTCACTCTTCATTTCACTTTCTCTCTCTACTCTCCTCTTTGCTCTGTCTCTCCTCTACTTCCAATCCGAGCCCCTCAAATCTCTCCTCTTCTGGTCCGCTCTCTCTCTCCTCCTCGGCCCCTTCGCTCCCTCCTCCCTCACCGGCGGCGACATTCGCGTCGGCGTTGGCCCAATTCTCGAAACCCCATCTCAGAACGATGCCGATGTTCACGACGATTCGAAGAAAAGAATGCCCAATCGACGATCAAAGCCTCGAAAATTGGAAGAGCAAGGGTTTAATTCGAATCCAACTATTGTCAATGAGTTGGGAAAATCGGAGAAGAATGGAGATCTATTGAAAAAGCGTGATGAGAATTGTGGCAATGGATCGGTGATTGTGGAGGAAGAGAGAGATTGGAGCGAGGGAGATGTTGAGTTGTTGAAAAAGCAATTGGTGAAGCATCCGGTGGGGAAGCCGAGGCGATGGGAGGTGATTGCGGAGGCGTTTCGGGGACGGCACGGGGTGGAGAGTGTGATAAAGAAGGCTAAGTCTATGGGGGAGAAGAAAATGAGCGATGCTGATTCGTTTTCGCGGTTTTTGAAGGATCGAAAGCCGGTGGATAAGAGGGTTGAGGATGGAAGTGAAGAGATGGGTGGTGGGGTGGTGGAGAATGGTGAAGTGAGGAGAGAGAGTGATGAAATGAAGAGAGAGAGTGGTGGGCTGAGTTGGAGTGCTGGGGAGGATATAGCATTGCTTAATGCCTTAAAAACCTTCCCGAAAGAAGTGTCCATGAGGTGGGAGAAGATTGCAGCAGCTGTACCAGGGAAATCAAAGGCCCAGTGTATGAAGAGGGTGGCTGAACTGAAAAAGGGTTTTAGGAGCTCCAAGGCTTCTTCTGAGGCTTAGTGAAGGAATTTATAATTGTAAGGTTCATGTGACATGCAGTGGCATTGAGGAGGTAATTGTTGTTTCAATGCCCGATTACACAATCTTTTTTGAACATTTTACTTTTTCAAATTAATATTGCTACACATTTGTTTTGATACTGGATTTGAGTCCATCAATAGAGCTTTCTTGTCATAGGGAGACACTTATCTATGTAAACTAGTGATCATTTTCAAGTTCTCTTGACAATCTGTACGAATAAATTGATTTCGCATTTTATGGAAAGTTGCATTATACTTTTGATGAAAGGAAATGTGTTTCATACTTCACTACTCATAAAATTTGTCACTTCTTGAATATTATTGCACTAGAACATCTGTTTGTAACTTTTAATGAGGATTAAGACCTGATGTTAAATATTGGTAAACAAAAAATGTGCCAGAGAAAAGGTAACTAGATTTAGAAGCACAAGGAAGGTGTTTACAGTTACGGAGTATTTTATTTTTAAATATTAGGGCATTAAGGAAGACTGGACTCATCTCATAAATGCCTTAAATCTTCTACTTTGATCAGTTATATATATCCTGTTTTGAGAATCAACTTTATGTAGGACCAACCTTTATATTAATATTTGGTCATGATGTCTTTTCTCGCTGCCTTGACCTACAGTTGATTGTTCTCTAAAGCATTATAAGAGTACAGAATTCAGTTGACCTTTCTGCCTATAGAGTTAACACCTGAAGGATTTTTTTCCCCTAATTTACCTAGGCAAGTATAAAAGTCTATGGGAGAAGGAGGAAGTCTAGATACAAGGCATATAATACGCTTCTTAGAAAATATAATGGGTTTTGGAATAGATAAATAATAAATTTACTTGATGAAGGCCATATATGATGAAAAGGATGCACAATAATGGAAGTTCCAATTATTGCATGCTTAGCATTATTTTCTCCCCAATACACTCATCTCCTTTTCTATTTTATTTGTATATAGAAATGTAGATCAGGATAAAGTTCTATACGTATTTCAGTTGTGGAGCATACGACATTGGTTGATGAGATTGTTGCAAGGGTTAAAATTGGAGTAATGCAATGTGTAGAGATCAAAAACATTATGTTAGACGTATGAACACTCCAGAAGATGCAAAAGAGCTACCTGATAAAAGACGTGGTGAAAACATTTATGAAGAGCTGTAAGATGAGTTGTGCTTTATGGTTCAGAATTGGATTATTTGGAAGTTGGTGCTCATTGGTGTGATTGAATGAGGATGCAAGTATGTTGAGTAGTGTAGCAAATAAAGGATTAGAATGACAGATGCATTTTTTGAATTTGGAAATGGCATTACTTGAAGATAAGGTGAGTCAGTTGAGATAGTTTGTCGTGTTGAATTTGATGGTTCTAGTTGAGTGAGCAAGAAGGAGAGAAGGAATAGGATGAAAAGACGCAGGTTGAGATTGAGGGGAGATGATGGCCTTTGAGTTGAGTTGTATTTTGAGGTCTACATGATGCCCTATTTTCTAATCCACTTTATCGTTATAGTGTCTAGAATGGCAAAATAGGATCCAGGAGGATCCAGGGAGCTGATCTCAAATAGTTTGGATCAGTTGGTGTTATGATAGATTGAGATAGAACTTGGTTGCCAGTCAGATTTTTTATAGTAATAGAAATTGAAAACACTAAAGATTTTGTTTTTTCTTCCTCGATAACTTTTGCTTGGTAACAAGAAATCTGAAAGAAGTATATTTAAGTTTGTATTAACCCTTTATCACCGCAAAATGTGTTCCAGCAGTGTGCTCCACCAAACAATATTTACTTTAACATCCTTGCACAAGTAGGGGCTCAGGATTCTTTCTTTTGTTTTGAACCTTAATTGAATAGGAGCGAACTGAGGTGTCTACATTACTGCTTAGTACTATATAACTAGCTAAGTTTTGTTTTATAGGAACATAATATTAAGATGGTTAAATTAGCAAGTTAAGTGTCCTTTTTTTCAATCATATGTTGGTGATACGCTTATTGTAATGGTCCTTGAAGAAACATGGGAATTCCTCTGCTCACGAACTTACTAGCTTTGTCCTGTATTGCTTTTAAATATGTAAATTGGTCCAATTGGATACACTTCAGACATTCCTTTTTATTTTGTGTTAACAAGATGAATCAGAAGTTTCTTGGTGAACTTGTGATTTGTTAGTTGCTACAGCATCTAGCTTTATATCCATATGTGTAATTGCTAGTTTTGTTAGAGGATCTGTCCTTTTATCTGGACCAATTAAAGTAGCTAACCTTTCCAAGGGTCCTCATAAAATGACCAGGTAGTTTCCAGCAAAAATGGAAATTAGGTGAGTAATAGTTTAGCAATTGGTAGTCTATCATAGTCTTGGAAAAAGAAAAAGGGTGTACAGCACTTTGATATGAGATGTCCTTTTACTAGATCTTTTTACTTGTATTTGTGATTTCTTGTGTTCTCGTTGGAAAAAAATATAGCTTCATCATGTGTTCCCCACCTCGAATAGCTTCATCATGTATTAATGACTTTGAATTGGGATGTTGGTGTTGGAGCTTTTTTATTTTTCTTTTCCCCTCTTTTTCGGTTGGTGATGGTGTTTATGATCTTGATATGAAAACTGTGATATTTGACTTGACATGTTGTGTAATACACCATTATTTATCAGGGTGCACATGGATCCTTTCAAACCATCAATATGATCTAAACCAATCCTAACCGTGTAATTTGGTTTTGTTTTGTGGGTTAATTATTCAATTCTGGTTCCAAAAATAGTGGAACTGTTTTCACTGTTTGGATGTAAAAAACCATCCAGCCTCTTAACTTATAAAGGCGGGGGTAGGCAGCACCACCTAATAACTTAAGTTTAAAAATGACTGAGGCTATTGCCGTAAATAGAGTGGAATAGAAACATATGATTCATGTAGCGGACCTCAAGTAGTTGGGAAAAGGCTTGATTGTTGTTGTTGGATGTAAAAAAACCCGAAACTATGCTAACCGAACTGTGATATTTATACATATATAAATATATATTTGTTTTTCATTGATTGGTTAGTAACATTTGTTTTTTCAAGTTTGCATAAAATTACATCAAATTTATATATATACACCCCTTTTTCTAACCTTAACCCTTATTTACATCAACATATTGGTTAAATAAAGTTCAGTTCTTATTTCATATTACAATTTTGCTATATTGGTTGAAGATTTTAGAAATTATAAATGCAATATTATTAGTTCTCTTTTTAGTTGAGTGATGGGGAGAAATTGTATATCTTTAGATGAAATTGTGGACTTTTTGGGTTCTTTGGGTCCATAGGACTCCTTTTTTGGTTTTGGTATTTATATGGTTCTTGGGATGCATTCCCCTTTTGAACGCTTTCTAATACACTTTTACTTGTTAAAAAAAAAAAAAAAATGCAATATCATATAGGTTGTAGTAAATTTAATCCAAATCATAAAAAGTGGGGTTGAATAATGTTTGATTAAAAAAAAAAAATTTGTTTAATTTAAGGTAAACATATTTTTTATTAGCCTTTTGGAACGTGTTGCTCTTAGTTTACCCTTTAAACCAGACTGTGCACACTTTTTTTTTTTTGATAAATAAAGAGTATATTAGAGAGCGTTCAAATAGGGAACGCATCCTTAAAGTTGTTCAAAGAAAGGTTCTAGGGACCCAAGGAACCCAAAAAAATCCATGATTTCATCTAAAGATGTACAATTTCTCCCCATCACCCAACTTTTTTTTTTTTTTTGATAAGTAAAATGTATTAAAAGGCATTCAAAAGGGTAACGCGTCCCAAGCTATACAAAAAACTGAAACTATGATCTCAAGGAGCCCAAAAAGTCCACAATATCCTCAATGGAGGAAAAATCTCTCCCCCAACCCCAACAAAAAAGAGTACAAATAATAGAGAATTTCAACAGCCCAATGGAGGACTCCTTCCCATCAAAAGATCTTCTATTCCGCTCTTTCCAAATGCTCCACCAAGCACAAAAGGGGGTTACCCTCCAGAAGACTCTCGCCTGAGCCCCCACCCATTGGCCCCTCCAAATATTCAGCAAATCCCGAGATGTCCGAGGCATAACCCAATGAATACCAAACAAATCAAAAATGAGACTCCAACAATCATGAGCCACAGGACAATGCAGCAACAGGTGATCCACTGACTCCCCATTCAACTTACAAAGACCACACCGATTAATTGTACATTTCAGCACCCCAATGGAAGATTCCTCCCCCTCAAAAGATCTTCTATTCCACTCCTTCCAAATACACCACCAAACACAGAGGGGAGACACTAAACCAGACTGTGCACTCCTAGGTATATAGTTGTATTTACTCATCCATTACATAATCAGTTTGCATCAGAGGGTTGTGGATTGGTTGGGTCAGTTTAAAATCAAGTTCTACTTACCCATAGTGTGGTTTGCCAGTGGAAAGGTTATTTCAACCCGATAACTAGAGATACACGTGCATCATCATGATTACTACATGACTGAGATTATGCCTTAGAAAATATTAATTTAACAAATTTACATTTAGATATAACATTTTTTAAAATAAGTTGTTCCATTGTGGAAGTATCAGTGTTATCTCTTTTTGATTTTACGTAGAGCATTTCAATCTTCCGTAACTTCTGGAGGTTTTTTCAAGTGTCATTTGAACTCTCAACGAACATTTGTCGAGCCTCAATATGGGACCATTAGTGCCTCAGTCTCCCTGAGATTTGCAGTTTTGTTGAATAATTTTACTGGTAGGTATTGTTAGTAAAATTGCGGTTGTCTTAAGAAAATGGAGTGGTTCCACATGCCTTCTGGTGCTTTTAAAGGTGCATATGGTGGTTTCCCTTGAGTAGAATGGAACCCATTTACTAGAAATTTGTGGTGACTAGGGTTCTAAGGGAGGGATTTGGAATTACTTATCAAAAAAAAAAAAGAAAAAAGGGAGGGATTTGGAATTTACATAGCAGGCTTTTGCATATTCATTAATGTTCAAATCCTCTATACAGGATGTAGTAGTCAATCTTGAATTGGTTTATTTATCAGCTTATTTTGAGCTTTATGGTTAAATCTTCTCAATGTAGCTGGTTCTGATTTGTGTTTGAAATTTGCATTTCGTATTCAAATCCTCTAAAGACGGGATGAAGTAGACAATCATGAATTTGTTTTATTTATCTGCTTATTTTGAGCCTAATAATTAAATATTCTCAAGGTAGCTGGTTCTGATATATGTTTGAAATTTTCATTTCATTTAAATTGAACTAACGGATTCCTAAAGCGACTTTGTTCACTCATGGAAAACCGGA